CTCTTCAGAAGCTTCCCCATTTCTTAAGCAGCGTTTGCTGGATGCGCAGACACTGGTGCGCTGCAGACCCTTTCACTCACCAGGTCGCAGGCAGCATCTCTTCTTCCCTCCCATGAAAATATCCCTTTTCCAGGCAATCCTCCCAGAGCAAGCTGCCCAAGGACTGTTATGACGTGCTGTGCACACAGCAAACCTATTTATTGCTTCATCACCAATATTCCCTCCACCTGGAATACACAGGAAGCGAATCTCAGCTTTGATCGCTTCAGCTGCCAACACCAGTGCGGCTTAGAAATAGCAGTTATTGAGACAACCCTAGAAACCTTTTTGTTAATGACTGCTCTCCTCCTGCCAAGTTTTTACCTGAAGGAAGAGGTAACTGTGCATTTTCTCAGTGCAATCATCCCCACCTAGAGAGGCTCAGCTGCAGCTTGCAGAAATTGCTCTAAAAGGCACATTCCAGGCAGCAGTGAAACTAGCTGTTATTTAACCAATCCTCTGCTGCTTGCTCCATTTCCAAGCCTCTGGACATTACCTTTTAAAACAGTATGGGGGCAGGATTTCTGCACAGCTAACTTGTCACCTGATAGCCATGCAGTATGTTGGATCTGGCACCAAAACAGGTTTTAAGTCACTTCTTGCCCTCTTTGCTGGATTTGAGAGTTTTCTGAATTCAAAGGAATTTTCACTTAAAAAAGAATAAAAAGAAAAGTGCAAGGAAGGTGAAGACTATACAGAAATTCTTTTACTTGTGCAACTAAAGCAAGGAATCAAGAAGTTAAATGTGAGGTGTGAAGCTTAAAATCTCATCTCAATCCCCCAGAGATAGCAAGGACAGCTACAGAGACTCTGGGCAGAAGGAACCTCCAGAGGTCATTGAGCCCAGTTTCCCACCTGGAGCAGGACCTTGCCCACCTCGAGGCCCGTCAGCTGTGGCTTTACCATGGAGCAGGGCCTGGAAGGCCGATGTTTCCACATTCAGATGGCAACACTGGGCTACATGGATAAAATCGCAGCAGAGCAATGGGAAGAGGGTACTACCTTTAGTTGCTGTCTCCGCTCACCTCACCTCTGCTCGTTTGTACTATAGACCATGCCCTAGTTGTGCTGGCACAGCTGTCCATGAGGCCGGGCCATGATCTGGATTAAAAAATAGCTGCAAATATACACAAACGCGCAGTGCTGGAGACCAACCTACGCCGCAGCGTGGCGGGCAGAAGCTGCAACGCTTTGCTGACCAGAGCAATGCTAGTGAGCACAGCCAGAGCTCCTAATCAACTTTCCATGGTGATTTTGTTCTGTACAATTAGAGCAGTGAAGGCAATAACCTGCACGCTAGCACTTGGACGGGCAGAGGGCATAGCTGACGTTTCCCCATGATTTAGAGCCCGCGGCTCTGGTAGAAGACTCCTGGGCGTGAGGTGAAGCCAGGACGCAAACCTGCACGGAGTTTCTTCCCGCTTCATCTGCTTTCACTTGCAATCCTCTCTCACGAGCTTTCGTGCTCAGCAGAGTCAGAAAGGAGACAGAGACAAAACAGGGCTGTTTCAACAAGTTCAAGTCTGCACTTTCTTCTCAGGTGACTTCATCTCCAAACATAAAAAGGGAATCTGTTTGCAGCCACACTAGTCTTTCTAAGAATCAGAGAATCTAAAGAAATCTCTCCCTAACAATAGTCTTTTCTTATAATTGATACCATGATTAAAAAGCACAAAACCTTTTCTTCACTTTCAATCCCACCTTACACATTTTGATGCACGGAGGCAAAAAATCTCCTCTTTACACCAACAAAGATGCACCCAGATGCCAGAATCAAAACTTCTGTCACATATTTTCTGTAGCTACTCTCATTATTTAGTATGAGCAGGTGGTGGGAAGGAAGCAGAGTAAAAGAAAACAGGATTATTTTGGGAAATGAAGCAGTAACTGTGTTATTAAGTCTGTCAAATAGTATGAATGGTTGAAATTTGAATCAGACTTTTGCTGTATGAATGATTAATTCCAATATGCTATTTTAAATAATAATCTTTTATAAAGGATGCAATCTCACAGTAAAAAACAAAAATACACCTATTAGAGAACAGCAAGATCTGAATTGGAAACAAAGGCAAGTACAAGGCAGGGATTGCTTGAATTTCTTCATCTTATCCTTGCCTATTCCATACAGGTGCTGGCCCTCGGGGCTCGTATCACACATTGGAAGAGAATGAGCCCACTGAAAGTCCTATTGGAAAGAAGAAAGCAAGAGGGTAACATGCTAGGAAAAAAATACAGCGATGCTTTCAGCTTTCAGGAATAGAAGCACCTCTGGGAAAAAAACATGTTGCCAAGATGGATCCCTAGCAAATAAATGAGACATTTAGAGTTGGCCTATTTGCTTGCAGATAAGTGGAACTACAGTTACAGAGGTCATGCACCAAGGAAATCCCATGGGATATATGGGATATACACGGAGCCAGCCACCTCCGTCACCCAACTCTGTGCACAATGTACCTCCCAGGTGGGAATTAAGAATATCAACACAGGAAACAACTTCTCTCCTGCCTGCAAGCAGGGGTCAAGCTCCCGAGCTAGTGGATGGCGAGTGTCCCCTGCAGTTGTGCTTTTTAAATGCTTCTGTAGTTTTTACTGTGGAAACAAGTCACTTCTTGTGTTGTACCTCTCTGCCTGCCCCTGAGGCTCCGGGGCAGGGTTTCTGCCTGCACAGAAGGGCTGGCTCAGCTGCTCCTCCAGCAGCTGCTGAGCCATCACAAATTACAGCGTTCAGAACTGAAGTATGTGGAAATTGGTATCTAACGCAGTCCCCGGCTCTGCAAACCAGGGTGGTTCAGCGGCTGCCCCGTGAACAGCTGAGCCGGGAGCGCTGCTGGAAAGGGCAGGAAGGCAGGAATGAGGGTGAAGCCCGGCGAAGGCCGTGGCTGCGTGCTGCCCCGTGGCGAGGCCTGCAGCTCCCACACATGCCCTAGGAAGGATGAGCACAGCCACAAGGAACGCCACAAAGATCTGCAGAATCGCGAGGTGCTGCTGCCCACAGAGACACCAATAGGTTGGCTTGGGAAAACCAACACCAAGAATACTGTAAGACAAAACTGTAGCGCTACAGATAAAATAATAATAATCTACCATCTGATTCCTTCCTCCTCCCTTTTCTTTTTAATTTAAAGAGGGAGGTATTGCAACCTTACATAGAGGGAAAAACTCCCACATGCCATTGCTGTGTGTTAACCTCTGTATTAGAGCCAGCTCCAAAAAGCTCATCTGTAAGCAGTAATTTCAGATACCATCACAAGATGCAATGCCTGCTGTTGCCATGCTATGCACATGCCTCCCCAGGACAAGGTAGATACTCTTATCAGCTTGGCATAGCAATTTCTCTCCTGGATATTTTATCTGCCTCTGCTGAGCTTTTCAGCTCTGGTGTCCATTCCAAAGCTATTTTCGGCCAGCTGCTATCTGTGCTGCTGGTGGTATGTTCTGGCTGCCTCCATCTGTCTCCTGCTCTTTACAAAGATGCTCGGTGGTTTCCTCCACTGGTCTGTCCTCTGACTCTACATCTTGACATGCAGCTATTCCCACCCTTGGCTTCATCACTTTGCCTCTTCC